TGCTGCTGCTTGCTTTGGCCGGGGCCTGGTGGCAACGCCCGGAAAGGCCAAGGAAAAAGTTTAACAAAATTTGTTTTCTAGGCCTGCATGGCTAGATCTGAGACCATAATATTGGTAATTTTACAAATTTAATAGTAAAAGTGATCAAATATGAAACTATCAAATCAAAATATATATAATTTGCGGGGGTGCAAAAACTTTTGGGGGCGGTGCCAAATGCCTCTACACTGTTAATTTCGGGGAGTTAATTTAACACCGGTGGAGTTATCCTGTACCTCAATTAACTCCAAATGTGGAGTAAAATTAGGTTCAAGATAATACCACTGGAATTAAATTAACTCCCTGAAATTTACAGTGTAGGGGAGTACAAATCATTTCTGGGGGGGGGGGGGGGTGCGCACCCGTGCCTGAACTGCAATCCGTGCCTGAACTGGAACGATAACTCCGGCTGTGTTTTTGAAGCCAAAGATGGCGGAAATTGAAGGCCGTCTTGTGGGTATGCCCTACGCGGAACTTCGGCATCATTTCATGTAGAAATTTCGTGGAAGTTCGGCATCATTTCATTTACTACGAAAAGTCAGCATCATTTCATGTAGAAATTTCATAATTTTTCCGCCGAATAATATTTTTTAAGTCTGGCTTTACCATGAGCCTAAGAAAAACTAGAGCAAGTGGTCTTGCAGAATAAGCAAATTTTAGAAACAAAGTAACGTTATTTGACGAGTGAAAAACAGGTTCGGAAAAACCCCCGCGGAGAAACACAGGCAATCTTTGTCTTTGTGGACTATCTACTGTATGAGGGGATTGGAACTAAACACTGAATATGGAGTGCAGTTGCAACAATCTTACCTTTTGTATTTACTGTATTTACGCCATACCACAAAAAATGAGCTTTTATGTGCAAAAATTGAAAATCATCTATCAGAGGACCGTTGTAATTTTTCAGCTCTTGCGAAAACCACACGAAATACACGCGTGTTTATATACGTACAAGAGATCAGACATTCTCTTGGCCGCCAACTTGGCTTCACCCAATCATAGGGCCGTTTACCTGGAGTTATCGTTCCAGTGTTTATACAGGGTGTATCAAAAAAAAGGTAATCGAACTTCAGCGCGCTATTATACGTGAATTACTCTGCGTATGAACAATTGGTTTTCATATTCGGAAAGATCAGGCTTTTAGCTATTGAATGACATGCT